TTGTGCCCTGGTGGAAACCTCTCCACCCACTGCTGAGGGAAAGGGTGAAGCCCAATTCATTTCATGCAAAGCTGCTCTCAGAGACCCAGCTGCTGTTCAGGCCAGAAATAATAACCTTGCCCTGTGAGCTGGCATGTGCTGCAGGCTCTGCTCAATGGCTGATTTGCATCTCCTTAAGCCGAATTCAGATGCAATTTATTTCTCTGCCTCGGGTTGGGAGAACTCAGCATGCCTCTGAAAGCAAAACATGCTTTGGGCCATATTTAGCTTTTGCTTGCATTGGGAGAGCAAGATGACAATGTTTCATGCAGGAAAAAGGCATAAAAGAAAGATTCATCTTTTGGCAAACACTGCACGGAGGCTTCAAGCATGATTCCCCTGGGCCGGAGCTGGGAGCCGAGACTTTGCGATGGGGTCTTTTGAGAGCTGGGACCTGCTTGAGGCAGATGCAACCATGAAAATACCTACCAGGGAGGGAGGGACCAGGGGTGCTTAGGCTGCCCATGCAAATTCCTGACCGGGGTTATTTAAAGCAATTTCACACATCTCAGTGTAATGGTTTCCATGGGTTTGGCTGAGTCAGGTACCGGGAGACAATCTTCCCTTTCCCACTGCTTTGGTTAGAAAAACTGGTCTTAGAAGAGCAATGTGACAGGATGCTGAGGCCCCGCTGTTTGCTTCAAAAGATCCCAGCCCTGGACCTGTCTTTTTGTGAAGTCAACAAGAATCTCCCTCTTGACCTTCATGGAGGATGGACCAGGTCCTTGATGATCCCCAACACATTGCACACCATCCTCTCCTTGCAAAACGCTGGTGATCAGTGGGATCCAAGAGAGCTGACGTGACTTGGGACCTGTCCCACTGACTTCAGATTGGACTTGTGCTCCCAGGGCTGTTCAGTGCTTTAAAAACTCCTCCATAGCTCTCCAAGAGTATGAAGCCTAATGCTATTGTAGGGTGGGAACCTGCCTTGTGATGGAAGTCACTGTTTCCACGACTGCTGCGAGATGTTTGGTGGAAGAGAGACCTCTCCAGGATACAGGTTTTTAGCTCCGTCACCTTTCCTTCTGCTCGCTTCTGCCACTGGGATGGCTCCTGGTATCCCTCTGTATCTTCAGCCCCTTCTCTGAACATCGTCCTGCAGCGATTTATATCTTGAGATGATCTCAGAAGCACAGCATGCTGCTCAGGAAAGCTGTTGCTCATTGTGAGCCTGACTCCTCCTTTTGGGATCTCACTCGCTTAAGTGTCAGTGGATGTAAACGTGGTGTCATATGCTGCAGGATTTCTGGAAACCAGGAAGTCCCCTAGGGGCTTGGCCCACCGGAAGTAAGAGTAGGTACCAGCTAGCAGGCAGACTTCTGCATCTCTGCCGGGTAGAAAGTGATGATTTCTGGCTATATGTCTCTAGACATTTCTAAGGGTCTGGGGAAGCGAGAGACCGAGTGCATTGAGAAGTACTCAGGAACTTTTCACCGGTTGACTTTTGCAATGGTCGCTGTAAATCCTGACCCCTTTCGGTGGTGTTTGTGTCAGCTCTCATGAGCTAAGCAGGACTGGCCTTGTCCCTGCCTGAATGGGAGACCTCCAAGGAAAGCCCAGCGTCTCATGCACGCTGACCGCCGAAAGGGGCTGCCGGACCTGGGCAGTAACAGATTCCTTGGCTGTGGGGCAGAGCCGGCTGGTATCCGTGATATGAGCATCACCACCCAGTGGCAATCCCCGGCTCCTAGGACAGTCTCCTGGCAGCTGGGGGCAAATCAGGGTAGTTCTAACGCTGCTCTATGTGCCACCAGGGGCAGAGAAGGAAAGGAGAGCTGGAGGAGAGGTGCCTAAAGCCACTTTTGATCTGCACCAGGTGCCCCTGAGATCTGGGTCCCCAGAGCAATGCAGGTGAGGTCCCTTCTGTCTCCAGGTCAGTCCTCAATCCCAGTCTCTTAAGTGGTGTTAAAATGGACTGCACTGCTAGAAGTGGGTGGCCCATCAAACCAGCCGCTCACCACTAGGCAGCCCCTGGCTTTTCTGTAGGCAATGGAAAATTGTCCCCCTGTCCTGGATTCCCTGCTCCCAGGGATCGCAGGGATCCCCACTCTCCTCCACTCCCACTCAGGCAGGATCTAGCCAACGTCTAAACCTCATATTCATCAAACCACTAGAAAACCACTAGAAGGTGGATGTGGGGCTTTCTTGTTCCCGTTCTCCCTAAATGCAGTGTGAATCTGCAATGACTCTCCAGAAGTCTCTCACGCAGCCGTAGACGGGGCGGGCGTCTCCGGGCAGGCTGTCTCAGCGGTGGGCACCGTTTGGAGGGTGAGGAATGGATTTCCTTAGCAGACACCCAGGACCAGCTAAGGGTAACAAGAACTGAGGCTCCTGCTCCGGCTGGTCTGGGGCTGCTCCTCATGTAGCACCCACTCTGGGTGGAATGGGACACGAGACATGTGGCCCCCAGGCCAGGACCTGTGCTGCACACAGCTTCTGCCCTGACCAGCTGGAGTGGGCACCGTGTGCTGCTAGCATCCTGATCCAGCTCGAGCAGGCATCACGTGCGGCACAGGCTGGAGCAGGTGGCGCGGGCACTGGATCTAGCATGCACGGGGAGTGGGGGAGACCGTGGGTGCAATCTGATCTATGGAGCCAGCTCCACACCGTTCACCTGGCCTGTGGACCAGTCCCATGGCAGTGAGGTGAGTTTTGTCAAGCCATCACTCAGTGAACACCAGAGCACTTTCTTTCTCTCTCTCTCTCAGCCCCTAGTATAACGTGTCTGCAACAGCCCTGAGCCAGCAGCATGCCCCTCTGCTTCGGTCAGCTTTGCAAGCCCTCCCGGAGCAGGAATTGTGCGAATGGCTTCAACATGTGCTGGTGCACAGGCTGTGAGCTCCCAGGAAGTTGCTGCTGTTTCCTAAGATGGGCGCCTGGCCTCACAACCGTGCAGAGAGCTCTGCGGGGTAGGGAAGGCTGGCCTGAATGGGGGCCAGGACCTGCAATATTTCAGCCCCTGTGATAAGAAGGAAGAGCAGCTTGTTCCCTCTCCTGTCTCTCTGCTCCCATCTCCCTGCATGCTGCACCACATTGCTGCACTGCAGAGCTGCCCTCTGGACAGCAATCCCAGGCAGCTCCTGAAGTGTAATAACGACACGCAGAGAAATAGGGCTTGGTCCGGTGTGCCTGTCTTGGGTTTTCTAACCGCTTCTCCCTGCCAGGCTCAACAGCCATCACACAGCGCTTCTCAATCTTTCCAAACTCCAGGCAGCCCTCAGTAGACTTGAGGGGCCCTTTGGAAAATGCTTTCTTTTTGTTTCCACTTATTTTTTGAGCACACAAAAGTACTAGAGCAATTCTTTTATTGCAGAGAACTCAGGAAGCCCACAGCAGGGCAGGGCTTAACAGTACAGATTCCCATTTGAACTCTCTGGGTTTGTCTTGTGATTCCTATTTGTACACTTAACAGTGTGAACATTGCATGGCACCCTGGAAAGGATCTCAAGGCACCCCAGGGTGCTGTGCTTGAGAATCACTGCTGGGACAGCTTCCTTGAAACAGGCTGCAGCAAGCTGTGTTGTGCCTGCCTGATGCACCATCGGCAAGACAGGCATGTTCGAGCCAAGCACATCTCCCGGCAGCGACGCCAGAGCAAAGCAGGAGGGAGGCTGCCTGGATTTCAAAAGCCAAGCTGTGTTGGCATTACTGGTGCTGAGTGAAATCTTGCCAGGGCTGGGAAAAGGGTGTGACTCTGCTCTGGAGGTAATGGAAGCAGCATTGCTGTTAAGGAAGGGTCCCTTTCCTGGCAACAGCTGTACCTCAGGGGACTGCAGGCATGCTGCTGCAGAGACGGCCGACTTTATCCTGGGCTTTATCACCTGCTGTTTCTGTCCCACGCATAATTTCCCTAAACAAGTCTGATGCCTCTTGACTCGACTGTCAGAATCAAGGCAATTTCCCAAGGCAGATTGACATCTCGGTGTGACAAAGGTAGCTATCATCCAGAAGAGGAGGTTTATCCTTAATAGCAGCGTTTAATATTCTAACAGAGATAACAGCAGGAGGCAGCTGTAATCAGCTTTGTAGGTGAAACTGGTGCAGCTCAGCTTTGAACCCTGTCGGTACAGAAAGACACCCACACGGTCTTTCCGCTCAGCACGCGGCGCCGCAGGGTGCCTGGGAAAGGACCACACGTGCAATCACAGTGCAGTCAAATGTGGCCCTTTGTTTCTCAGGAGCAATGTTCAGAGAAGAAGAAGAGAAGGAATGAATAAAGACATCTGAGCTATGTTTGCAGGTGATCTACCTCAATCCCAGAGGCAAACCGCTTTCAAAGCCTTCCCTCCTTCTGTCCTCCCAACAGGATGCTGCCAATCACTAAATGCATTCTGGGTATGTCTACATGTGCATTTCAGCACGTCTAAACTTAATGCACATTATCTTAATGTGCATTAAGCGGGTTTAGGCAGGCATCTACACATGCAGGCATTAAAGCGCATAATGCTGTGTCTGGACTGATTTGGGACTAACATTTGTTCCGGGTCAGTCCGCACACATGGTGTTAATGCGCTTTAATGGGTCTACATGTGTATTAATGTGCTTTAACTATTCACACCTAAATTTGATACCTGCATTTGCAGGTATCAAATTTAGGCATGATTAGCCCCAAATTGCCATTCTGAAAGCACATTAAGGGTGCACACGTGTAGACGCGCACCCTAATGCACCTTAAATTTAGGCTAATGCGCGCCTTAAAGCGTCTCATGTAGATGCACCCTCTGGGAAGGAAAGACCCAGGAAAACAACTGCTGGCTGAGCTTGTTCTGGACTCCTGACATCACCTTTATTCTGCTTGTCACCATCACTTCTTTTGCAATATTGGTCTTTTGCCTAGGAGGTATACTGGAGCTGCTCCTCGTATGCTAAGTTATGTGGATCTGAAGAACAGGCCTCTGGGGCTGGGCAGTCTCATGCCTGATGCAGCATGGCAGGGCACCACTGCCGAAGCCTCTTACCTTCGGATGTCTGCAGGACCAAGGTCTTGCTGTATTGGCTCACTCCTGTTTTGTTAAAGGCTTTGACGCGGGCGCTGTAGGTGCTGTTGAAGTGCAGGCCGTCCACGGTGCACATCGTCTCCTTCCCAACATACACCTCCTAGTTAAGACACAAAAGGCTGCGTTAGTGCCTGATGCATGGGGCATATCCAGGTACAGGAGGGCCTTGCTCAGACAGCTTGCTACACAGTATTTCCACGCTTCCTGACACACAGGCATGCCAGTTAGACACCTTTTTGTCAGGCCAAAGTGTCTGGGTGGAAGCTGGGAGAGCTGGAGGAACCTGGGGACCCCAGCTGCAGCCGCAGCTGGAGTGATGGGGGGCCTGGTATATTGTATACTGGAGTGTGAGAGCTGGGGGGGCTCAAATTAACCCCTCACAGGCTGGATACAACCCAGCCCTGTGCTAAATCATAATGGTATATCTTGATAAAATGACTTTGCATCCTGCTTCTGAGCTCTGACAAATTGCCACGTGACACCAGTTCCTCCACAGCACCAGCACAGAAGCCTTGCTGTTTGTAGGCAAGCAAGGTTTCTCTTCAAGTAAACCTCCCACTGAATCCAGAAGAGTTTTGCTGATGTACCCTGGTACAGAAACTGGTTGCTGGCTCTAAACTGAATGAAGGCCACTTATTAGAGACCTGTATTGGAAAATATTACCTTATCAGCTCAGACAGCGGGACCAATGCTTTGATGAGAAGACAAAGATCGGCTCCTTTTACAGATCTAGAGCTGACTGGCTGACACATCAGGCTTACACCAATGTAATGCCATTCAGATGAACAGAGCTACAAGACCATAAATAGCAAATGTGAATCAGCCCCAAAGACTAGTGAAATGGTCCGGGACTCAGTCAATGTTTAGGTTTGCTTTAGAGTTGTGGAGGATGTGATGAAGGGCCCACTTGCTTTCGTCCAGGATGTTAGGGAGGGGTTTTAGCTCTGTGCTTCCTTGCAAATACCTTCCACTCTTTTTTTGTACCCAAGAATCCTTTTTGCATTTCTGTCGGGGGTTGCAGAGTACAGCGGTGCGCATCTGATCAAACAGCCCCCGCTTAAACACAGAGCCGCTGCTTTCAGGCCAGCGTACACCCTTCCATCCATCAGCGATGGAGCTGCGAGGCTCCCTTGGGATAATGCCCTTAGGCATAAAAAAAGAAGGCAGGGTAAATTTGCAAAGTGTGCGGGTGTGTGTGTATATATGCATGCATGTATAAGTGTATGTGTGCGTGTATGTATACTTATATAGCACAAGCTTTCATGAGCTAAAGATCACTTCATCTGATGCTTGTGAGATATATCTATTATATATACAATCTATAAAATATATATATAATCTACTTTGCTTAGTCTATAAGGTGCAAATATACCTTGCCTTCTACTTGCCTTCCCACTAACACAGATAACTATGACTCTATGCTCATGGATAAAAAAAGAACAGAGATTTCTGTTTTGAATTTTTGCCCCGAATCCTGAGCAAATTGACTCAGCTGACAGCGATGCCGGGAGTTATATACGTTACGGTTCTCCTTCAGAGCACGCACCCGTCAGTGGTGAGAAGTGCAATTTGAGCTGTGAAGCAAATGCACTGAACAAATGCCGTGAAAGGTGAAAGGCAGACAAGGATCTTTGGGTGAATCTGATATCTTTTATTACACCAACTTACATAGTTGGAAAACAATTTAAATAGTTGGAAAACAACTTAAATAGCTGGAAAGGTGAAATGCACCTAGCACTGGGTTACAGGAAAGGTTTCATGATTGTCTCCTCGTGCCTTCGAGCTGTGGTGCACTGAGGGCGTGTGGCTGTCTCACATAGCCAGTAGTGTAACTAGGGTGGGCACTTGTGATATCAGCCCCAGGTGCCAGTTCTGCGGAGGCACAAGGATAGCTGCCATTGCCACCACCACGGCCAGGCCGCTGCGCTCCCTGGTACAGAAACCGGTGTTGTCCTCTAGGTGACGTACCGCTTCCCCTTCACAAATCCTTTATTGCCTAGTCCCCATCAAACCAGAGATCTGCCTTATTCTATATAGACAACAAATGGCACGGGGCAACGTCCCGTCTCTCTCACTCTCTGTTAATAGAGGCACAAGCCTGAATCTAAACACTTGGTCACACTCTGCTCTTCTTCTCATCCATTTGTTCTTGGCCTTGTTAGGACTGCACTGTTTGACTTCATTGAGAGACAACCTAATAAGCAATGCATGAAGACATCCTGGGGCTGGGAGTGGCACCCCATGATCTAATAACCCTTGGTGTTGTTGCTCCATCAGCAAGCAGGCTAGGAATGGCCTAGTTTTTCATTTCATTTTCAATAAGGCTAAAATGATCATCTATAACAAAGCCCCAAAAGGAAGAGCGAGGGCTCCTCTGTTACATGCAGTGTCTGCGAGTAATGCATGTAAGGAGCTTTGCAATCTCTAGATGGAAAGCCCCACATATCACCTGCTGCATTAAGGGTTAGGAGCTGGTTGTGACAGACTGCACGTGAGTCTAACACAACTCCTGGACAGAGAGCTTGGCTGTATGCTGAGCTGCTCTTATGCACAAACAGCGCCGGTGGAGATGCTTGTGGGAGGAGATGTGGGAGTAACGGCTCCATGCACAGATGAGTAACACAACAACACCTAGCAAGCGTGTGCGGAGGAAGGCATTAGAGACTCTGGCAAACATTACCCTTTCTTTTTTGCAACTGCAGCTGAAATCCAGCATCACCCTGAGCCCGAACATTGACCAGGCTGTTGCACAAACCATCTACGTGACACTAAACGCCTTCTCAAGATGTGACCCCAGGGTTTGGCAACCACTGGGTGATTTGGTTTGACGAGTGGCTTACAGCATTGCCCCGTGGCATCATTTTTACTGCCTTGTTGATATGCTGCATCATGCAGTGCAAGGGCTCACTGAACACTACTGCATCCATCTGCATGGTTATCAGGACACTCAGTATCCCACTGGAGCTGGGGAAGGCAAAGGCATCTCTATATCACCCTTCGGCTTCCTGCTCTTCCATCTAGCCACAGCACACATGATCGTCGCTGCAGGAGCAACCTAATTTACATCAGCTGGAGCAGACCTGGAGCAGACCTGATCCATTTTGACCAGACCTGGAGCAGACCAGATCCATTTTGCTGGCCTGGGATCTTGGCCTGGACCCCTGCAAGGCAGAAGGCAAGAATCGGTGGCTAGGGCCAGACTTCAAGGCACCAGGGTTTCTCCTTTGGCATAGCTTTAGGTTCCCTTCTCTACTACTGATGCAATGCAAATAGGATTGAGCCCAGCAGATCTGGCCCTATTTATGCAGTAACGCTAGGAGCTATGGCTTGCAGAGCTATGTGTGCAGTAAAATGTGTGAGCACACGGCAAGAGGAAGCAAGCAGGATGGGGGAAGAGCCGGGAAACCAGATCCATAGGAATGAGTGCTACAGCCAAGTGACACCTGCTGGGGAACAGCTGCCTCCGGCATGGGACAGGCACGCAGCTAAGTGCTGCGGTATCCTGTCTGTCTCCTCTGGCCCCTTCTCCCATTTATCTGCTCTGATTCTTTCTGGCAAAGTGTTTTCCAGCTCAGGTTCAGGAAATGTGCTCAGCTGCCTCTCTGGGCCTACTCAGAAGAGTTATGAATACGTGGGGGGCATAATTATCAGCATGTTGGATCAGAGAAAAATTGCATTTTAATTGCGTAATTACAGCAATTGAGAGAAGCCCCTAAACCTCCAATGCCTCTTGCTGCCAGCGGGATAGCCAACCGCATGCCTTCCTCAGCAATCAAGGACTATTCATGCCTTGAAGCAACATTTAAAAAGGGCCTGAAGTGAGCTCTTTTCATTCACAAGTCATGGGTTTCATCAAGAAATAGATTAACACGAGAAAAGCACTCAGCCCAGAGCTGGGCAGCTGTTTCCTGGGCACCAAGGTATTGGGAGGAACAAGGAGGAGGTTGGGGAACTGCATGGTGACCCCTTCTTGGGGTTTTGCAGTGGGATTCCCTGATCCCGCTGCCCTGGTGTGGGTAAGCTGACTTCTGCTTGCATGATTGGGAGCTGAAGCAGTCAGATCTATGCAAACAGCTTGCCCCAGAGCTGATCCTCGGCAAGCAGGCACTCACCTGGAGCTGACTTCTGCACTCATAAGAACATCAAAACTGCCATTTACTAGGTCAGACCATCCTGCCCAATCTCCTGTGTCACACAGGGGCAGAGGGCGGATGCTGAAAGGGAGGGCGAACTGGGTCTGAGCAGGGGTTTTTCCGCTGTTCCTCTCCCACTTGTGACCTCCAGCACTGCAGGTCGAGGAAGCTCTGATGCAGAGGCCGTGCCCCTCACCCCCCCGGCTCAATACCGACTGATGCCCCTTTCCTCCAAGAATGCCTTCACTCCCTTTTTGGATCTGGCTAAGCTGGCAGCATCCACCACATCTGGTGGCCATGAGTCCCACACTTTAATGACACCTGACAATGGGGAAGAAAAGGAGTTAAACAGGATCCTGTTGCCAGCAGAGGAATTGACCCCGGTGCATATTTAAAGTCCAGGTGGATTTGGGAAGTCATCTGCGAACAGCAGGGAAGGGGGTGAGTCGTTACAGAGCTTGGAAAGATTTTCCTATGGATGCTAAATTCCCAAGGAAAAAGAGATTGGTGGCCAGCTCTGAGCCTGATCCCGCTGTGCCCCCTGCCTGCAGGGCTGCTTGCTGGTCAGCAGGTAACCCGAAGCAGGGAGTCTGCCGAGTGAAGAAGAGAAGGGGATTCGGTGCCTGAAGTGAAGAGTGGAGGGATGAACCAGAAAAGCTTTGCTATGTGGCAAACCAACTAGGGGCGGTGAAGACGTGGTGGCATGGGCTTTCACATGGGCCTTCCAGGAGCTTGGGCACGGAGCATGGATGTGCTAAAACCCTTGGCGTTGCCTGTTCTCTGGCACTGTTACCCACACTAGCTCAAATCAGCCATCATAGGCAAGCTAGGACATTTTGCAGGCATGCCACAAATCAGCCTTGAACCCTCCCTGAGTGCCACACCAATCTCTTTCCCCTGCCTGATCCACTGCTCTGCTTTCTGCTCCCCTCCCTGTGCTTCCTGTATAATCTGTTGTTCTGCTTGCTCTGTGCTCCCTGGCTGACTGGCTGCTCTGCTTTCTGCTCCCTGCCCTGCACTCTCTGTCTGATCTGTTGTTCTGCTTTCTGCTCCCTCCTCTGTGCTCCCTGGCTGATCTACTGCTCTGCTTCCTGCTCCCTGTCTGGTTTGCTGCTGTGCTGCCTGTCCCCTCCCCGATCTGCCATGTGCTGCACACAGAGGCTGCCCATTTGTGGCACCCGTGCCATGGGTGGGCTACCCCTGAGCTCAGCCAGGCCTTCCCGCTCCTGTGGAGACATACTCGCTGTCTCCCCTCTCCCCTTCATTTCAGATCTCCATGCTGCTGTGCTACCAGCACCGCATCTCTCAGAGCAGGCACCGGACAGACACTGCCATGGCTGGAGAGTTACGCTATTTGGCCATTTGTAGATGACATGGGGTTTAATTCTCCCTAAATTAAAAACACCACTTCCATTTAGGGCGAAGTAAACCCCCGTGTCGTGTACACCCGTGTCGGAGCCTGATCCTTACCTGCCTCTCCAGCAGCAGGGAGGGGAGAGCGAGCTGCTGGCGGGCAAAGCGGTCCCTGAGCTGCGGGGAGGGGAGAGCTGGTGCTTCCCTCCATGGCTGTAGGGTAGGATACTAAAACTCCTCAGAGGTGTTTTACTTTGCAGCACCCCAGAGTCATTTGCTGCATCCCCAAGTCATTTAAGGCGCGTTTCACCGCCAAACGTGCCACAGCGGCTGGAATTAATGTGCAATATGCTGCTGAATGTACAAACAGCAATGCCATTAAAGCGGTGCAAAAGGCATTTAACCAGCTTTAAACCCTCTTTATAGTGTCGTGTACAAATGGCCTTTAACACTGTCCCTAAAGTGCCCTGCGGTCACCACTGCCCCTTGCATGTAACCCTGCTAAGGTCTGTGTAATAATCGGGTTGTTCCTAGTCTAGCAACAGAGGTGCTCTAGGCTTTCAATAGCCTTGTTTCTACCTTGTCCCAGCAGCACTAGGTGAGGGATAAGCTAGTCGCTATGTAGCTCCAAAGCTAGTCACTATGTTTTCCATCCTTGCAGAGTCGAAGGCTCAAACAGACCGTTCCAGTCATCCAGTCTGACATGCACAGCACGGGCCAGAGACTCTCCCCAGACATCCCTGCCTCCACCCCATCACGGTATGGATATACCTGAGAGGAAGGAGGACAGGACCTGTTACCGGACAGGCAGAGACTCAGTCCAGATCCACAGACAGCTGAACTCGGGCAGAAGTAAATGCCATACCCGCGATCCTGGCCCTATTCTCGACCGCCTTGTGTCTTTTCACTCGTGCAAGGGGAACAAAACCAACCGCACCAGGCACCATCAGAAAGGCACTCCCGTTCCTCTGCACGGCTTGCTCTGCAAAGGCTGCTGGGACTTACCCTGAACTGCCCGCCGTTCCCGTCATCCAGCTCCAGGATGTATCCTTCCGCCTGCACCATCGACAAGGGCGGCTGCTTCCAGGACAGGGTGGCGCTGTTGTTGTGGGTGCAACACTCTTCCAGCTGCAGGATCGGGGGTGCCGGCACTGGAGAGGAAGCTAAGCACAAATTAGTGTAACTCTGGCTTCTGCGACCAGAGCGGGAATCGGGTGAGTCGTGAGCATCCGAACTGCGGCAACCCACATCCACGCATGCACATTTCACGCCACGTGCAAAGACTGGATCCATCCTCGGGGAATCCACTCTGCGCCTGACGCTGGATTCAGTCTCATGAAACTGCCTTCCTCTGAGGTGCTCTCCAGAGTCAGGCTCGGCTTCACTTTGTTCCCTTGAAACGGCCCTTGATTTTCTTTTAACGTCCTCTCCTCTCCTCTCAATTTAGGACGAGTGTGAAAACACAGCAATACCCCTCCTTTCTCCCTAATTAAACATAACGCTTTAGGCTAAATTGTTAAGGGAAGGTGGGAGCTTGCTGACTTGTGTGCAAGCTAAGTGCTCAGCCCTTCTGGGGTTGGACCTGAGCTGAACCTTACACTTCTCTGTTAAAAATGCTGAAAATGATGGTGCAGCTAATGAAGAACCATGGAAGTGCTTTTGGCTGCTCTACTAGGTGCACAGGTACCAATTAATGCCATTAAGATAAAATAGGATAAATAATGGCAGGGCCATTATTTCAAATCATTGCTGTGGTTGAAGCAGCAAATGTTTAAGAGCTTTTTGTGTCTTCTTGCTGAAGTGTCTGTTATTGGGTGTTAATGAGTGGTGTAAGGCAATCCATCAAGGAAGGAATGAAGCCTCCGGGGGGGGTCAAGTCTGATGGGGCTGGTCTTGAAGTGGAGATCTGGGCCCCTAGTTTAATACGTGCCAAAAAGCCAACAGGTGTAAAGCAGGACTCCAGCCAATAACGCTTTTCTGAGCCAGGGCCAATTAGCATCTTCTTTCAATTTCCAAAGAGACGACACGTCGGAAATTGCTCACAGGTTGTGACGGATCTCCGCTCCCGGTGAATTAATGAGAGCTACCAGCAGCACACCACTGCATGGCTAGTTGTACACACGGACAGTACGTAATCAGGGGAAATTAAAATGAAAGATGAACACCCAAAAATTCCAGGAAAAAGAGACGGGGGAAAAAAGAAGCTGTCTGACTCAGGTGATGCAATTCTTTGCTGCGGGTGGAATAGCTGTGGCCTGTCTTGAGAAGAGAGATGGCTCCGGCACAGCCTAACGTAAGCACTTGTTTGAGGGTTGTAGCCGTGTTGGTCTCAGCACATCGGCAGACAAAGTTCCTTGGGTAAATCTGATCTCTTTTATTAGAGCACAGACCAACTGCAGGCGCTTCCCCAGCCTGACGAAGGGTATTTATACCCGAAAGCTTGCAAAGAAGAATTTTTCCAACTATTTGAGTTGGTTTAATAAAAGATATCAGATGCACTCAAGAAACCTGGTTTGAAGGATGCACTTTCAGGAGAGACCTTTGTATGAGAGACAGGCAGGGCATTGTCTGAGTCATGCAAGCATCCATGTGCATGTGCGTGTGTGTTCACATGTGTGTGTGTGTGCACAAGTGTGTGTGAATTATCTGTAGTACTCTCCTCAGTTCTACGCCTACTTCCCTCTGAAGCCAAGGGCTTGGTTAAGGGCAGGAGAGGCCTCTTCGGTGACCAGCCCCGTGGGGAAGTGGTCTCTGTTGGCACTGGGGGGTCACAGTTATTCCTAAGGCAGTAGCAGGCATGTGCCCCCCATGACTCTCCCTTGGGAGAAGCCATGCCAGGAAGGAGGGAGGCTGGGTGGTTTTGTGTTTGAGCCCCAGGACCAAGGTAGGCCCCCTCAGCTATGCCCTTTGGCATCCTGCCCTCCCTGTTCATCTCCTGCAGCTTCGCTGCCACCAGACGATGAGGTCGTAGCCAGTCCCATCCTTCACGGTTGCTACAGTTATGTGGGCGTATTATGTTTGGATGTGATATGCTGAAAGTGGGGGTTTTTTTGGATGGGTTTTGCTCTGGCAGAGGACGGGTTAATGGCTGGGTTGCAAAGGGGCTGTGTGCGCCCTGACTAATTGCACTCTGCCATCTGGATGGTGCGGGAAGGATACAAGGCTCCATCCTTGGGCCTATCCTTTTCAACACCTTCATTAATGATGTGGACATTGGTGTCAGAAGAGGACTGGCCAAGTTCGCTGATGACACAAAACTTTGTGGAAAAGCGTCCACACCCGAGGACAGGATGGTGATCCAGGCCAACCTTGACAGGCTCGGAAAATGGGCGGATGAAAACTTGATGGCGTGAATGCCAAAAAATGCAAGGTACTCCACCTTGGGAAGAAAACCCCACAGCATGCTTATAGGCTCGGCAGGGGTATGCTTGCTAGCACCATGCCCAAAAGGGACTTGGGGGTCATGATTGACCACAAGCTGAATATGAGCCACCAATGTGATATTGCAGCCGGCAAAGTGAGCAAATCTCTGGCTTGCATCCATAGATGCTTCTCTAGCAAATCCCAGGACGTCATTCTCCTGCTGTACTCAGCCTTGGTGAGGCCACAGCTGGAGTACTGTGTCCAGTTTTGGGCTCCACAATTTAAAAAGGATGTGGAGAAGCTTGAGAGAGTCCAGAGGAGAGTTGTGTTTTTCCTAATTATTGGAGTTAGTTTTTTTTTAATCCTCAAAATGTAGCTGTCCTGTAATTGTGGATTTCATCCCATGGGGAGTTTGTACCCTCAGGGTCTCATTACAACATCACGCTCCCTTCTCCAGCACACACCTGAACCCCAGGGCTTTTCCTGGGCTTCACCCCATCCTTCTCCCTTCTTGCTTTTAAGGAGACAGATAGAGCCCCCCATTGGTCACCCCCTGGCACGTCCTGATTTTAGCCTGGAAGGAGGCTTTGCGGCAAGTGCAAATTGAGGGCTATTTCCTACGTGCACCGAGGACAGGCGCTCACCTTTCATCTGCACGAAGTCGAGCTGATGGATGGACTGCAGCAGTGGCGCGCTGTCCAGGTTCAGGTCAAAGTCCGTGGTCATCCGTGGTGTCAGCGTCCCCTTCCCCCACTGGTCCTCGGTTAGGTGCACTCTCCTGATGAGCGCGTCGGAAATCTGATGGCAATAGAAAGTGCAACCTCAGCTACCACGTGTCACCATGGGATGGGTGGCGTGCGCTGGAAGGAGCTGCAGCGGTGCCGCGGTAAGTCATGAGGGATGGGGCATGCCCACTGCTTTGGGGCAGTGCAAGTTGTGCCAATGGCTCCATAGCACCCAGCTGTCCCCCAAGGGCTCTAGAGATGCCTTTCCCTGAAGGCTTACGTTTGTAAGTTCCTCCCAGCAGAATTATATTGTGTATCAGGAGACGGTTCATTAGATGAACCACTGGAGCCTCCAGTGCCAACCCAGTGCCTGGACCCATGTGGGAGACAGATCTGATTCCCATGCTCTAGGACTGTGCTTGTGACTGACCCAGCACCTGAGCCCTTATCTGGAGGATTGCAAGTGTCCTCCTTACTCCGTAGGACACAAGATCATCTGCTGTAAAACTCTTCACTCAGAGCCTTTTATAAACCACAGGATGAAAAATCATGTCCTGGTCTCTGGTCTTTACTTCCTATCTCTACTGCTTGCTTCTGCATCTTGCATTCAGCTCCTGATTTCTGTATAATGACCTTCTTCTTACCAAGGGCCAGCTTCTGAGGTCCTTTTTCACCTGCAGTAGTTGCTTACTGCTCACACTGTCCCACTGATATGATGTGTAAAGTAAGGTATTATTCAACACGAGTATGGATCAGGATCTGACCCATAGCAGGCACTGCTGCCCCCTTACTCAGCCTGTGCTGCCAGATCTACCCATCACACACCGAGTGGGGTCCTGCTCACACAGCAGCGGATGGGTAGCTAGCCCCTGAGCTCTGGCACAGCTGGACTGGCTGCCAAATAGGAAGGAAACTTCTAACTATTGTTGTGAGAGGCAAGAAATTGTGTGGGTGCTGTCTTTTATTGGACCAGCTGCGTAGTTGGGATGGACACAGGCAAGCTTTGAGTACCAGGTCTTTGAATGAAATCACAGGAATAAGAACGATTGCTGCTACTCTATAGGAAAAATGGGAAGGAAGGAAGTCTCCCCTTCTATGTTGGACCCAACCCTGCACCTTCCCATTCCCTGGGGCTGTTTCGGGCCCTGGTGCCAGCAGATAACACCCCCCCCGCCTTGCCCCCTGCATATGGGGGCTGCCAGTCAAACCCCATAGGGAGCAGGAGACCTTTGGCCATATCTCCCGCCTCTGCATTGTCCCTGACACCCTCCGTCTGTGGCTGGTGGCTGGGAAGAGTGGGATGTGCTGCTTAAACAAGTCCAGACAAGGCATCGCTCAACCTCCATTTCCTTTTAGTGCCTAATGATGAAGAAAAGTGATGCCTGCAGAAATCCCTAAGCGGCCTGGCCCATTCTGTGACAAGGGTAGGGACTAACTGGCCGAACGATTCAGACCTGTCTCTGCCCTTGCCCCACTGGGTCCCTGGCTCTGCACTCTCTCAGCCACGGGTAAGTCAAAAATCCCCTGGAAGTGCAGATCCCCCCACACCAACCTGTAGGAACCCGCTGGGGTCGTTCTCCTTGATGACCTCCAGGCAGTACTCCATCAGCCCCGTGGTCTGGCGCAGCTTGACCGTGCAGTGGGAGATCTGGTCCCGGACCACCTGGGAAGAGACGAGGAGAAGAGAGTTTCCATGGGGAGCTGGAAGCTGGGAGACTCCAGGGCCTCACCCTGCCCCTTTAGAGCTAAGGGGCATTTGCCCATGACCTGACAAGGAAGATCAGGGGGCAGAAACAAAGGGGAGCAAAAGAAAGACAGGCCAGAGGGAGGGAAGGGCACAGAGGGGTCCACATCACTCCTGTCCCTAGTGATATGCACTGTGAGATGTCTCTGTGCACGTACACCGCAGCTATGGTGGGGCTCCAAGGGCCTCCGCCACAGCAGGCAGGGAGGCTTGCTGCAGAGCTCCTGTTAAAGGGAGATGTAACAGGATGGTCTGTCTGTTTAAGAGGCACCGGGTAGCCCCATTGAGACAGCCCAGCTGTAGGGCATTTGGATGGACATGGAGTGCTATAAAAAGCTCCCAGAAGAGTAAGCAGGAGGAGGGAGCAAGTGGTGAGTTCAGCTGCTGGGCTGGGAGCCAGAGCTAAAGGATTCATCCTCCAGAACGAAAGGATTCATCCTCCAGTGCCTGGGCCGAGGCAGAAGGGTTTGGTCTGCTTATCTGTTAACTTAAGGATTGTGATATTTGAAGGATGGGCTGAGGAGCAACTTGGGGAGCAAAGCCTGCTTGCAAAAACCAGCAGGCTGGGTAACCCGCTTGCAGGGGACTGCCAAGAGAATGGAAGGAGCTGGGGCTGCAGGAACTTCCTTCCCATAGCCTAGGAGCTACTTCTTCTTTCCTCCACCTCCTTGGGCGTATTGATGATCACCACTTCATCTAGCATTCAGTTCTGCAGTATGCTGGAACTGAGGGCATGGGCTTCCCAGTTTGCAGGATACAGGGGTGCAGCGTAGGGTTTGCTGCTAGTGGTTAATGAGAATGGGGGTAACCCGTTTCTGCCCAGCTAATCCACAGATCTAGACAGCAGATCAAGTAGTACATCATGGCCTACTATTGAGCAGCAAGAATGCAGGAAACCTGGTAGGGCACGTGGGCAGTGAACACGCTCCCTCGGGAGTGCAGGTCCTTCTGCACCTTTGGCTGTGGCTCTCCAGGACATGTTTGCAGGACAGCCCCAGAAGTGGAAAAACTTCCCAGCTCTTGTTCCTGAATCCAAAGGAGCGCACTGACATAGTCTACCCGGGACCCTAGCAGCCATTCATATGCATCATCGAGTTCGGCTCTGATAACTGGACCGTTAACAACCATATGCAACCCCAAAGGCTTCCCATAATAACTTTTCAATAATTCAGACAACAGAGTCATTACAATAATGCAACTGTTCCTTAACCTGGGTTTCTCTTGTCTCTTCTAATGGTGGGTTCTGGAAATTGGCTTAAACCCTCACACAGATACAGAAAGACTGGGGATTTTTTTAAATCGGTGGGACACCATAATAAATGTGATGATACCGTATGTGCTAAAGGCTGGTACATCTAAGCAAAAAATCTTTCCCTGATTTGCACTGCTGATCTCTTATCCATAGGGCTGGATCCAGGCTGGATATTTTGCATTCATTCAGAGTCCTGATCTTCAAATGACGTCAATAGAAATTCCAGGTACAGCGCACACAGTATACTTGCACCGGAGATAAGAGATTTGTAGCACAGATCAGAGAAGGCAATTTTACACTTTGGGTGAACATGTCAACAGCAGGTATGGAAGAGCCTACAGCTGTGTAAAATTGGCCGGACTCAATTAAGCTAAGCAATCCCATAGGTCACATTTATTTAATGCATTACGCAGATGATAAAGCACCACCCTTCCAACAGCATGAGCAGCTACAGCTTATTTGAAAGACTGCAATAAATGGAGGTGAATAACTCCCAAGTTCGCGGTCTGACAGTCACTGTTGCCTCACAATAGCTATGTATCTATGATTTATCAGCCAGGAACCTGACTAAAGAGCAGTATCCAAGTAGCCCTCCTTGGCTAGGAAGCCTCATTTGATGGCAGGTGAGGTGGATCACCCAAGCACCCATATTCCTTAACTGGGACTTCCAGATGAAGACATGCAAGCTTTAATTTCCAGCATCAAAATGAACCTTAGTTTCAAGGGCGTGCAATAGCTCATTCAGCACAATCAGCAAGATCCTGTGTTACTCAATTATAACTCAGTCCCCACTCCTAAATTATCTAGTAGACTGCAAAATGTCATATAACTCAGGCTGGCATACCCCTTTCCACACAAATGCATTAAAGGGCTGCCAACCAATATTCCTCCATGCAGCTCTCAGTGCTTATGGGCTCGCCATTTTATTCTTCTTGTTAGGAAAACATTATATTCCATTTGCTGGGAGACTCAAGCCAGCATGAACTTCAAAAGAAGAAGAGAATCAGGTTCAGGCTGGACCAGCAATTTTAAGGATGTTAATCAGCATAGGCACAGCTCTGGAATTAGTTAATTGGTGCATTTGCTACAGAAAAGCCGGAAGGGGGAGCTCACTCATTGTTTTTAAATTTTCCTGCCCACCAAAGCAGTACATGCCGGTTGGGTTATACCCTGTGGAAGCACGTAGTGCAATAGCAATGGATTGCTCTTGATTCTTGAGCTGTCACAGCCCCCGGAGGTGCCTGGAGATCCTTTCAAGGGTGCTGCAGGGTGCCGCGCAACGTCAGCACGAGGAGGTATGCAAACAGGATTCACAAGGCACACCCAGATATTTCATCTGGGACTTCCTAGTGTTGAAACCATTCACCCCTGCTGTGGGCTTTCTGAGTTCTTTGCAACAAAATCATTGCGCTCGTATTTTTCTGTAGTCAAAAATGAGTGAAAACTAAGAGCTGGGATGCCTTGAATCTATGAAGGTTGAGAAGCACTGCTTTAAGGCAAGACTACAATGCAGGCAAGTTGGTTTCCCGAGCTACATCAACGTAAGGGCACACAAGAGCGTTGTCCTCACTGATTCCCTGTCATTGCTGGGAAAAATTAATTCACTGTTAATTCACTGTTCATTGCTACAACCCAAGTGAACTTAGTATGTTGAGTTACAGCAGAGGCTGGCAGCTAAGGTACTAGACTGAGGGCTCAGGGGACACTGATCCTGGTCTTGGTTCGACCTGCCATGTGACTTTGGGCAAGTCTCCATGTCTTTATGTCTTTCCCCCATCAATTTAGATTGTAAGCTCTTGGGGACAGGGGTTGTCTTTCCGATGTGGTCACCCAGCACAAGGGACCCCCTAGGTGTGCTTACAACTAGGGTTTGGTCTGGTTACCAAACAACTGGTAGTGGTTAGGAGGCCTGTTAGTGGCCCCAAGGCTGTATGTCACCATGGCGTGTTATAAGTGAGCTTACACCATGGATTTTCACTTCTCAAGCTATTTTTAAATGTTTGATCAACCAGGCTCGGTTAAAACCAAGGGTCCCCATGTAAAGCAGCTGTTTAGTGCCCAATGTGAGGTTCCAGGGTAGATAATTTACCCTGATCCACTTTTACATTGCATCAGGCATCAACAGTGTAGTCGTACAAGCCATTGGGAGTAACTTTACTCATGGCCATGGCCTTACCATCCTTAGCCATCCCCACATCCCTTTGGTACAGGACCAGGTAACGATGGGACAGAAGAGAATCCAAGAGACGGTTCCCAGCACACAGTCACTTTTGCCGCATGTACTCTGATCCCAGACCTGCAGTTTTCATACTGGCAAGATGCCCAGTGAAGTCAAAATGGATCCTGCAGTACTGTAGGCTGGGCGCTTTCTTGAGGTCAAAATATGAATGGCACAGTAGAGGATCTTCGCTGGCAGTACAGTGATACAGGCACCAGCATCGGCCCCTCACAGGACTTTGTTGAAACAACAACCACCCGCAGCTTCAGCAGTATAATACCATGAAACCACCACCAAACCCTGCAGTGACAGAGTCAACCTGGACTGCTAGGGAAAGGAGAGACTCTACAGTCTCATGCAGCCAGGGCTGAGGCACCTGGACATCATTAGCTCAGAGTCCATATATGCTGGCCACATATCTTCACTCAAGTGTCATAGCACTGACCTGTGAAGCAAGGAAATGTAACTTATGTTGACATGCCCCTAAAGGAAACTAGACCCCCTGATTGTAGCAGCCTCACTGTTAGTCCTCATCAGCTCTTTTCTGAGCAATGCCGCTGTCTAAGACTATCTGGAGTTTCACCATGTGATTGTCATACGCAGTGGGCTCATTGTTGCTAGTGACTGGGTTGGATGGGACACCTGCCTTGAAGTGGGGCAGGGCTGGGGAAACCCTGCTGCTGCCACGGCTGGGTCCTGCAGCCGGCGCCTCATCAGCTTTGACAGGCAGCCACCGACAGGTAATAATTTTCTAAATTTTAGAGGGCCCTGTGGGTTGGATAGAGTGGCCTGGAAGGCTGGATGTGGCCCACGGGCCATATGTTGCCTGGCCCTGCTCTGCCAAGGACTCGGAGCCTGAACTTCATGGCACTGCAAGAGCCTGGAGAGGTATTACCAATGATACCTCTGGAAAATCCTCTGCATCACACAGGAAGATCACCGCACAAGTGCCACCATCCTTGCTGAAGCCAGTGTTACCAGCGTGGAGCCAGCGATCCTCAAGCACCAACTTTGCTGAATGCCTGACTCTCGACTCAGGGTCTGCCGCTAGCCAGCTCTGCAGGATGAGCGGTCACTGCCCTGCCGTGGGATTGCTCTGGTTTGTAAAGCCTGTATGAACCACAGATGCCAGGACCCTGCAGACTCCAAGGAAGAGACTGGGTGACCTTCTCCATCTGCTAGGTCAGGAATGGTCTGCGTGGACTCTGTGCCAAATGCATCTAAAACCAGCATCCCCCTCTATCCCATCCTTGGGGAAAGAGCTCTGATGGGAAGCGCACGTGCCAAACCAAGCCTTATCTTCTTATCGTCTTTGCAGCTTAAACCCAGGTGCAGTGCTCTCAGGATAATTCCTTCACGTGCCTCTGCTCCACAAGAGTCAGTGCCTTCCAAATATTAGCAGTGGAACCGCCATCTGCCGTCGCTGGCAACGTGCATAAATCTCAGAGA